ACGACGACCACCTGGGCCAGAAAAAGTATCTGGATGGAAGCATACGGCTCCACCAGCGTGAAGACCTTTGGGCCGCTGCTTTCTCAATCTCAATATCAGCCCTCAGCTCTTCATTGTCCAAAGGCTTGATAGTCTCCTCAGTCTCCCAGAATTCCTCTGCGATTGTCTTTTGGTCCTTTGTAGTGTTCTCGCCCCTCCAAACCCAGGCAGTAAGTCCCCATAAGCCCCATCTGCTTTTAGTCTGATTGTCCGTTGTTGGGGGTTTCTCAGGTTTGGCCTTACTGCCCCAGGACGAGTACAGATTTGCTGGACTGACCCACCCCCAAACTCGCCCTACAACTGCGGTCATGTCGGCACTATTACTTTATAATGCACAAAGGAGGAAATTAAAATGCTATAACATTAATAAAGTGTCAGTGTGTGGGGGAAAAGCTAATATAATTGATAATTACACATTAATAACTATAGTATAAAGCAATAATAAGCACAGCCACCTCTTCATCTAATGGTATAGCTATTTAAAAAAAATCAGAAAACGACGTTGAGTGTCCCTTTATTACGACATATAAAGTTTTACACCGCTACAAGTATAAGATGGCATCTAAACAATGAGACCTCAACAGACCTGTATTAAGGCGTGTTTGTATTAAAGCAAATGAACCAGAAAACAACTGACGGCCACACCCGTGCAAATCACTCAATGACAGGAAAATAATATAATTTGTATTAAAAATTAAAAGCGAAAACAAAACAAAATTACTGTGGTAATGGGGTTTCGTTTATTTCTGAGCTCTAAAAGCATTTTCCTCAGGCGAAACGGCGTCGGTTAGCATGTCTGAACAAGCCGAGCGACTCCGAAACTTTAAACGCTAAACTGTGTCGATGTCGACCGGCGAAACACTAGCGACCGGAGAATCAAACATACCTGCGACCCCAAATCTTCAGTTCTATATGACTGCAGTAAGGACACGCAGTTACATCTTCCAGACATCACGGTCTCTCTGCTTCACTTGCAAAAACATTTGAGTTCACTCATCGAAGCCAGCTTCACATTCCTGTCCATTAGCACACGGCACATACCTGCTCGATATTAAACCGTTTCAGCACGTAAACAGCTCGACAAAGTGCGAAAATGCAGTCCGGTTTAATTTCAACAGACTCACGGAGTTTTGACAGTTAACTTACTCTCTGCTGTGTACGAGCTGGTTTGCTCGTCTAGTAATGCTTGTCTAAGGAAGTCCGGCTCATTTCGGCGAATCGGTTATTTCAAACGGTTCATTTGAAAGAACTGGTTCAACCAATCAATTCAGTGAATCTTTTAACTCGTGCTGCCTGATATCCCGGCGTGGCATATTATTTGCTCGAAAATGTCCCAATAAAGCCGTATAATAATTAAAGCCATATAATAAAGCCACGTATTGCTGTTCCTTACGAGTATTTCGTTACGAATCATACATGTATGAAAGAGACTAGCTGGAATAGATGCCGTTTACTTTTTATTATATTTATGCACTTAGCTGACGCTTTTTATGCCAAGCGACAAGCAATTCGTCACAGAGCCAACAATATTCATAGCGTACAATGCCAGGTTTAGCTAGAAAGCTTTTAAATAGTAAGCTAAGTATGCTAATATGCCATACCGAATTCGGAATACCACACAACGTTTACTTCATATAGTAAAAGAAATACGCCAATATATATGCTAAGGTTCAGAATTTAACCAGTCTCTTTCAATTTGTTCTCGGTTCAATGAGTTGGAGTGGTTGACTCGACAACAAATTTATTGAAAAGATCCGACTCAAATCGCGCGTCGCTACGCACTGCTATGTGCAGAACAGAAGCGGTTACATTAGCATCGCTGACCCGGTGACCTTCGCTCTGCAGATTTGTGACAGTCCGTGTAAACTATTAAAATTTATATATTTCCAAAGCGTGGGTTTTATTTTGTTACAACAACAGGTAGGCTAGTATGGAAGCATATAGGTAGCGAAATTCAATTTAAAATGCAATTTTGATTATGTTATAACACTTTTAACACAACTCTTCTGCCATTGCATCAACTTCTGTCCTTGAAAGAAAACGCGTGTATTAGATTACAAAGGGGGAAAATAAGTGTATTAGTTGCCTGTCAGTGTTTCAGTGCGCCGCAAGAAAGTTACTTCATTGAGTTTCAGTGGAACCGAACAACGCGCTCATCATTAACACCCAATTATAACCAAAGGTAAGTTTACTGGGCCAGTACTTACACAGTGACAGATTCAAAGGAATATGCTCATCATTGGCTCATCATTCTGGCATCGTCAACCTAAAAAAAGAAAAATAAAATCCAACATTAACTAGAAGTTCTTAGTAATAATAAACACGTTTTCATAATCAAAAGCTGTGCTCAGAGAAATGTGAAGAGCTTCATGTTGTCATCAGAGACTCTAGTCTATTGAATCATCACTGCACATCACTGATAAAACATCAGCACTGTCCGGACACCAACCTTCGTGTTGATTCATGGGCTGGAGACCATGTCTAGGCTGGCTTCAAATCCTTAGCTGAAAACCTTGAAAAGAAACGCTAATTGTTAGAGACTATCATGGGCCATACTCGCAAATTCATATGCATAAGAAACAATCTCTTACCCACTAGTCGTCAACCGCTGCCATCAGCCATCCTGCTGGAATCCAACCTGCAAATGTATCTAGACATTTAGAGACATTCAAAGCCACTTCTGCTCAGTCACAAGCTGTACTGCATGTGTTGAGTGCACTGTGAAGAGCTTCATGAGGAAATAAGAGACTCCAATGATTCAACATTACATGCAATAATAGACAAGATACCATGCTTTTAAAAGCACTAATTATTTGAGGTTTTCATTGGCATCAACTAGCTCTTACCTACTGATCGTCAGCCGTTAACATCAGCTGCCTGGCAACATCTGCTCCTCCCATCCAACCTGTAAAAAAATTACTTTAACATTTAGACAAAATCCAAGCCTCTTCTGCTCAGTCACAAGCTGTACTGCATGTGTTCAGTGCACTGTGAAGAGCTTCATGAGGAAATCAGAGACTCTAGTCTAATGATTAAACATTACATGCAATAATAGACAACAGGGGTTTTCAATCTTTCAGATGTCACAGACCTCCAAATAGAGTTAGAGCGACCACCATTCTGAAGTTTATCAGCTATATATTTATATGTATAAAGACCATATTTATACCGTATTAGTTTGCAAAGTATTCAGTTTCTATTACAGTTTTCAGTTACATTTTTAGTACAGTAAATGTATTATGTACTTATTTAAATACATTGTTTATCTTTTTATTTTAATTGAATGTATTTATTTATTTTTAGTTTATTATATTTACTTTACGCAGTTTTTCTCTGTTTTGAAAACCCCCGTTTCTGCCAAAAGTTGACAAAAAGCAATAACTCCATAAACAATCATAAATGTTAGTATTGTAATTTTACTGTTGTTCTGTAAAATAAAATAAAAAGACAATAATAATGATAATAATTTCAACAGTTCTGTTAATACATTTATTATAGCCTAACATTCACACATAGTGTTCAAATTGGGATCTGTAATGCTTTCTAAAGTTTTAAAAGAAGGCTCTTCTGCTCAGCAAGGCTGCTTTTAATTGTACAGTAAACAATACATGCCTGATTCAAGAAGGGGGTCTGATAGCCAAAAAATATTATTTTACTAACGTATTAATTTTAAGTTAAATTGTGCTTTGTTGGTATAGTGTCTGCTAGAATGTTAAAAAATGTTCAGTGTTAAATACATTTAAATTGTTGTTTTGTAATAGATTTTTTTCTTTGAAAAGCAAGACAAAACAGTAAAAAGCACATTTTGGCTATTTAATTTGTGCAGTGGTGAAAAAAATTGGCAAAATACATGGGGGAAAAAAAATAATCGAAAAACCTTGTTCGGTATTCGGCCCAGTATTTCATTTCGGTGCATCCCTAGTTAGAGGGACCACCATTCTGAAGTTTAAAAGGCAGCTATATATCTATATGTATAAAGACCATATTTATACCGTATTAGTTTGCAAAGTATTCCGTTTCTATTACGTTACATGGTTTTCAGTTACATTTTTTAGTACAGTAAATACATTGTTTATCTTTTTATTTTAATTGAATGCATTTATTTATTTTTAGTTTATTTATTATATTTACTTTACGCAGTTTTGCAAACCTCTGAAAGAAAACATTAGTGCCGTAGTCTCATACTTGCATCACTGGGACACTGTTGCAGCTTCGGTACATTCTCTGAAATTTGGTTTCCCAAAACATCAACGTTCAGTTTAAGTAAATATGATCTGCAAAACAGTGAAGGTAATATATTATCGAGTCATATTGGGCTAAGCATGTTGATCTATGGACTAATGGCGCATTCGAGCACGGCCAAGTCGGATTTTCTTAGCAAGCTTAAATATAAAGCACTGAACTGTGTTTTGGGGTAAGCGATACAAAATAATAAATATAAAAATACAGGTCATTCATCGCTACCTCAAGAACTGCAGCAAGCATCCACAGAATGCAAAGAATCACGCAGCGTGCTGTGCAGCGAATGACATTTAACAGGGTCCTAATGCTGCAGTCAGGGTAGCGAAATATCTGCCTGCATGAAAATGCAAGCATATTTTGTGTTTATGTTGCATGATTTTTTTTCATTTGTTTTCTTTTTCTTCTTTATAATTTATTTAAACGAAATGATGCATGCACTTGTTATTGTGAGATGGGATGTTTGGGATACTACAGGAATGCTGGAAATTAAATGTTGTTAAAAAAAAAAAAAAGAAACCATTAAATAAGAGATAAAGTTAAATGTTCTTAAAAAGTTGCCAGGGGAAATCAGAAATATAAAAAAATATATATACGAAAAATATAAAAAGAAATATAAATATAAAAGAGTATAAATACTGCTGTATTTATATGATTATATCTACTGACTGCAATAATAGATATGTTTGGTTGCTATGCAACACAAAGTTGTGCGTCGTTGCCAAGAGGAAACGGAAATAAATCTCCTGAAGCCGCAGATTTCTGCCACTGTCTAAATGAAAGATTTTTATGTTTACATTAATGGAAATATAAGTAGAAACTATCCTGCAGGCGTGTGCACGGTGTACTACTCCTCCAGCGGAGTGAACGAAGGGAGTGACACAAACACAAACACAACACAAACACAACACAATGGGAGGACAGACACAGAAGCAGCGCCGATAACACCGCGATACAGCTGTGCCTTTAAACCAGCCCACTGCTGCAGCGGCACTGATGTGGGACTGGTGCTTTCACTAAATCAAGTGCAGCGAGAGTCGACGGGCGCTGTGATAAATGCATCTGAATCTGCAGCAGGGCATTAGTAGAGTATTGTGTTAAGATTCCAGATCTGTCCTTACAATGGATTTCCCTTTCGACCTGAACGCGCTTTTCCCCGAGAGAATTACTGTGCTGGATAACAACTTGAGCGCAGGTCGGAGAGCGCATGGGAGGTAATGTATGCTTTAATGTGTGCTGCTGGGAGAGATGGGTGTAATCTGTGTGCAGCATGCATGCACTGCTTTTGTCTTGTAACAGTGGTTGACACAGTCGTGCTTTGTGCTTGCAGTGGGGGTTTTAGGGTGTTGTTTTATTAGGCTAAATGTTGCATTTGGTCCAGGTCATCTTTTTCCTGTAATGATAAGCCTATTGCTGTATGGAGAGCTTGTGAGATGCAAATGCGGCCCTGAGTAAAAACAAATCTGACCTGAGTCTGATTTAATCGGTCATTGGTTTAATCTGAACGATGCTGATTCAGCAAGACAGCCACAGACTTCACTGTAATCACACAATAAGAAATCTCACCGTGCTATAGATATATTGATTTATAATAAGCATTTTCTAATAGATAAACATTTTATAATGGATAAACATTTTTTTTTAAATCTAATATAAATCAATATTATGATAATAATACAATGCAAATATTTTAAGAATACATTTGATTTGTAATGCACTTTTCTTATACTTAAAACGCTACATTGCATTACAAAGACAATCAAATAATAAATTATCTATATAAATAACAATAATAGTTAAATATTCTAAACTTTACTGAAAAGATGTGTTTGAGCAGTTTCTTAAATCAATCAAGTGAAGGGGCATTTCTAATAGAAGCAGGTTATGAATTGCATATTTTCTGAGCAAAAGCCATTCCTCCCATAGATTTATTGATAACATGAAGGAATTTGTGGTGCGTTTTCAGCATATATAAGCAACACTGTACAGCATACATTCCAATAAATACAGAAATTATAGATTTTAAATGAATTTTAAAATTCACCAAAAATATTTTTTTATTTAACCAGTATTTTGAGTATTCAATTTGCCAACATTACAATGAAATCAAAATTAGTCTTTTACATTTACATTTAATCATTTAGCAGATGCTTTTATCCAAAATGACTGCCAAATTATAGGACAATAGAATCAATCAAAACTAACAAAAAAAGCAACAATATGTAAGTGCTGTGACAAGTCCCATTTAAAGTTGCATATTGATTCTAATCGAATCAGATGCTTTTTAGAAGTTTCCCAACCTTTTGGACACGAGGCTGAATCCAGCTCTTATTCACAGCTTCTGATTGACACTATCCGTTCCACCTTAAAAGACGCACGCTTCCATGTCAGTTAGCTTCTTATTCACTCTCAACTAGGGACCGTGTAATTATATTTTATGTGCCTTTATATTTTTACAGTCCATTTTTGCTTATAAAGCAGTGTTATTTGCGTCTCAAAATAGTTTATTATTTGTTTATTTTGAAAATAGACACAAAAGCAACACAATCCCTTAAAAAAGCATGAAAAAGAGAAAAAGCTGCACGGTCCCTTAGCTGAGCGAAGCTAACTGACGTGGAAGCATCACGTCTTTTAAGGTGGAACGGAAAGCGTCCATCAGAAGCTGCGAATAAGAAGCTGGATTCAGTCTCGTCTTTTGGACTCCAAGGCTCTCTTTTGTCCAAGATAATATTCAAAGGCCCTCATATCTAAGCTAATATCTCATGTATAAACTCAGAAATAATAAAATAAAATGTGTATAATCAATTTAATGTTGTATCTACATTGATAATTTTTTTTGTATCAACATTTTAATTAAGATTATATTAATATAACTACTTACTGGGGCCCCCTGGAAGTTGCAGATGCCCCGCGGTCCCCTGGTGGAGAACCATTGCTCTACCTACCCTTGGAACAAATCATGATTCACAACTGTGACGTAACAACACCCTATTGGCTATTTAAAAAAATAGGACAAGCCATTGATTCCAACTTGTAAACCAAACAGTTATGCATTGTAAATGTGTATGCATCTGTTATGGCTTGCATAACTGGAATCATATGCAAATTCACATTTTTACATCTTCTGTGTATGAGATTCCTAACATGCCTGGTTTTTGTTCTCCAGACCAGATCCTCTTCAGATCAGCACAGTTATAGATGAGCTGGGCAACGCCTCCTCTAAGGTAATAATGACTGTCTTTTGTCTTGTTTTGAGCTTGCAGATGTTATTCAATGTCAGTTTCAGCCTGTCATCATGTCATGTGTGTGTGTATCTCCTCAGGCCCAGCAGCTGCCTGCTTCTATAACCAGTGCTGCAAAGCTCCAGGCCAACAGACACCATCTCTACCTCCTGAAAGATGGAGAACAGAATGGGTTTGCTCGCTTTCTCTATCCCTCCCCGCAGCCTATCCTTCAGATTTAATCTATTTACATGTCAATACAGCTGGCCTCTCTCTTTCCTGTTTTTCCATTACATATAAACACATCCTCATCTGCTGTTAATAACAATCTTTGACGCCCTCTTCCTGTATTTTGCTTTACCAGCGGGAGGGGTGTTATTTTTGGGTTTCTGAAGGTTGGCTACAAGAAGCTGTTTTTACTTGTAAGTGTTTGCTCATTATTGAGTTGGTAATTACATCTTTTTAAACTTGATGCATCAGTGATTTACAGTATGTTGTAATTGCATCCAGGACCAACGGGGGGCGCATTTGGAGACCGAGCCATTGTGTGTGCTGGATTTCTATGTGACAGAGACACTGCAGAGACATGGCTACGGGCTCGAGCTCTTTGACTTCATGCTGAAAGTGAGTGTCTGTCAGCGGCCTAAATGTATTAAAGGACTAGTTTACAGAAAAATCCTGTCATTTTACCTTCCCTCGTTTCAGTCCAAACCATGTGACTCTCCTGGTTGCGTGGAACACAAAAGGAGATGTTTCAAAGAATGTTCATGGTGCATTTTTTACCATACAATAAAAACAAGCAACAAAAAGCATCAATGAAGTATCATGAAAGTGGTCGATATAATTCATTCTCTTTGTTCCAAGTCTGAAAGACTGAACAAGCTGAAACGTAATTCTTTATTCCCAGATCATTTCCCCCTTCACCATTAAAACTCATTTGCAAGTACACATATTCAAACATGCCCCATCAAGACCAGGTTGGACGTCAACGATGCTGTACAGCATTGCTTTTTGTGTGTTTCAACCTTGCTGAATGCTACACGGCAAGGTTGAATTTGCAGAAGTGCAAAAAAGATTTGCGCAATATGGTGAAGGGTAAGATTTTTGTTAAAACACTTGCATTTTATTCAGATTTCCATTGAATAACCTAATTTAAAACGAGAGTATATTTTGGGGTATTTCTCAGACAAAGATGTTGTATACATAGAATATAGCGCATTAGTTGTATGGACTGCTTTTCTGCTGTTTTTTGTAGTTTTTGCTTGTGTGGAAAAGAGCAGCAGGAACATTTTTCCAAATATCAATTTTTGTGATTTCCGGAAGAAAAAAAAAATTGGTGACAGTTTGGGAACAACATGAGAGTGAGTAAATGATGACAGCATTTTCATCTTTGGGTGAGCTATTCCTTTTTAATATGTTCATTTGAGAGGTTGGTGTAAAGACCCATTTGTATTTGCTACTATGTAAAGAGTCCTGCTTGTTTTTGTGACTCATGGTTTCCTGTCCTGAACATCACCTCTGATTGAACAGCACAAACGGGTGGAGCCTGAACAGATGGCGTACGATAGACCTTCTCCTAAATTCCTGTCATTTCTAGAAAAGCACTATGATCTCAAGAACAGTGTGCCTCAGGTATGATCTCCCTTTTAAAGTGAAAGTGCTGCATGGCGCAAAACAATCACAGCCAATCAGAGCATGTTTGGTGTTCTGTGGAGTGAGATTTTTGGGCCAGTGAGATTTTAAAAGCTTATTCCTTTACAGTTAATTGAGTCACACCTGGTTAGGAGAACACGATGTTACTCTTCTCAGAAATGCAAACTGTAATCCAGTTTGTACTTGAAACAAACTAGATTACACTACTTGATGAAAACGACTTCATCAGATACTATAATAACATGTTATGTCTTGGGTGTAAATCCTGATATGGATTATGTGCATGACGTGTGAGCGTTTTTATTTGCACACAATACAGACTTTATACAATAGTGTTTTCCTCATAAAAGTAGGTGTGTAAATGACCGTTGCAAAACTTGACTGTTATGATGTAATTGTCTAATTTCTTCACACTTGTTCCTCTCAGGTGAATAACTTTGTGGTGTTCAGTGGATTCTTCCAGAGTAGATCAGGTAATGCCTGACTGCATCACTGTTCTTCTGTGGGTTTGGAATGTTGTTCTGGATCTGTGCCAGTGTTCAGTGAGTCGTTCTCTCAGGGCAACCTCCCATTCTCCTCATTAAAGTACGTGCAAGGCAGCACTGTATTGAAATTCCTCCTCTTTTTCTTTTTCTTTTCTTCCTTAAATTTCTCCAAGTAATTCAGCTCGAACCACTTAATATACAGAGTCCATTTAAGCTACACCTGACAGTGACAAGGAAATACTGGCTATAAATATTTCTTTTGGCCATGAAACTGTATTTTGCATTATTTTAATCCTTGCTGTTATTGTTAACTAAAAAATATTTAAAAAAATCTTTTTTTCATTAATTGAAATGAATCTGAAAATAAAATAAAATATAAATATTAGATGGAAATCTTAAAAGTAAAAGTTTAAGTAAATTTTGAAGTACAAAAATTGCTGCAACTAAAACTGAACTAAATATAAAATATCAAATAAATGAATTAAAATTAAACAAATATTAATGAATAATAAATAATCAAATAAATTCAATATAAAAAAACGAATAAAAATGTCAAAAGCACAAACAATTAGTAAAACTTCAAACTAAATTAAATCTAAAAATATAAGCTAATTGAAAATATGAATTATACTATAATAATATATAATAATACTTAAAAGTAATTAATTAAAAATATTATATTTATTTAAATCATAGGATTATTTAGTTGTTATTCCCTGCATGTTGGTGACAAACACTGTAGTTGTACAACTAATCTATGTCTCTCTGTAAAACTGCTATTGTCACAGAAAAAGTTATTATTTTTTCTTTCATCTTGATGGCTTCGGTTTGAGATACAACTTTTTTTTTTTATTTCAGAGAGGATCACCGATTTCACTTACATGACTCAGGGCTAGGTTATCATTCTTGTTCCATATATAGTTATCAGCCAACTGGTGAGAGTAACTTTAGATTGAAATGTAATGCAGAAAAAAATTCCAGAACCTAGTAGTTTCTCTAAAACTTTAGCAATATTCTTTTGCTGCCTTGCAATCAAATTACATTTGAGAAGATTCCACAATTAATTGAAGAAAAGTCTCTCTTTGTTGTGCTTGTCCATAATGCTCATAGCTGTCTTTTGATTCTTTTGTTTCATATTTGTAGTGCTTCTATATTTAAATCAAGTGTATTTCCTGATCTAAATCATGACCTGTTATTTAGTTTTCTATAAAATGGCATCTTTGTACCTGGCAAAAACATTTCCAATGCATTTATTTATGTGTATAAATGACTTACCGAGCCCAGATTTGGGCTGTTTATAGTAGATAGCTACCCTACACTGGGTTTACCATGCAAACAACTCAAGACACTTATTGTTCAAGTGCTTTTGTCTCATCTACCAAGGAACACCTCCCTCCCCTTCGATGGATCAGGGGATGTATGGATTTTTGTAAGGGCATTGAATATCTATTGTTCCCCTACCCCACCGTCACCCGGCTTCCACCTTACTTATCACTCCTTTATTGTATACTCAAGTCCATTCATTATAGACTCTTCCTTTGCACTCAAACAGACCCCCATAACCTCTGCCCACATCAATCAGTCCCAACAACTCTCTTGCTGTTCCCCTTTAAAATCCAATTATAGATAAGTGCTATATGTTTTCCCCAAAGTGCAGTGGAATGATAATCGATATATGCATTATGGCCATGGATATTTATGGATATGAATATCTGTGAAGAATGCAGTGTGTGCTGTTTAACTGCTTGCTGAACTCCAGACTTATCCTCTACCTGTTGTTTCCATTGGCTCTTTCTGACCACACTGCTCTTTTTTACAGTGGTCCAACTGAGAAAAGTTCACCCAAAAAAGCCAGAGGGAGAGATCAAACCGTATTCACTAATGGAAAGAGAAGGTGGGTTACTCATAGGCTCCGTGTGTCGGATATTAACCGGTTGGCACAATACAGACCCTAGTAGCTGACATTAACACCAACTAGCTGAATACTGACATCATCCAGCCGCTGTAATAAATAGTTTCAGCTGGAAACAGGCCTCCCATTATTCATTAAATGTCTTGATTTGGTCCATCAGTTACTTTAGAGTTCTTAGGAAAGAGCTTTTTTCAGTCATCACAGGCATTTTGCAAGGAGCAAGTACTCTCACTCCTAATTTAGACATTTTAGGGTTGCAATCAGGGGACTGTGAGTATCTACATCCATGTCTCAATCCAGTCACCATGCATACAGGTAACAAGGTGGAACAAAAAAATCTGTTCTTATTCAGAGCTGGTGTCATTCTTCAAAATACTGGAATGGCATTTTAATGGTTCATGTGGAAGTGATTCAGATTCCTGAACAAATTACTATTACGAGGTGGTTCTTTTTACTGATTCAGAAGCAGATAGGACAGTTGATGTAGTCTGATTGTCTAACAAATGATTCTAAGGGATCAGTTATTTTTTGTGAGTTAAAAACCAAAAAGCAAACTAGTATAATCAGATTCCTGAACAAATGACTATTACAAGGTGGTTCTTTCTAGTGATTCAGAGGCATACAGTACAACCAATGAAGTCTGAATGTCGAATAAATGATTGTAATGAGTCCTTTTTTATTGAATTCAAAACATATAACTAGTGTAGTCTGACTCCTGAACGAATGACTCGTATGAACCAGAACATACAGTTCAACCAGTGTTGTCTGATTCCTGAATGAATAACTTTTATGAACCAGTTATGAATCAGAAACATAGAGTGTAACCTGTGTAGTCTGATTACCAAACAAATGGCTTTTATGAGCCAGTTACATTTAGCCAATCAAAAACATACAACACAATCAGTATAGTCTGATTCCTGAACAAATTCTTTTTAGAGAATCAAAAACATACAGCACAAACAGTGTTGTCTGATTTTTGAACAAATTATTCTAATGAGTTCTGTTTAGGAAATTACAAACATACAATTTCACCAGTGTAGTCCAATTGAACAAATGACTCTTATGCATCAGCTATGAATCAAAAACATACAGCACAACCCAGTGTAGTCTGATTTCTGAACAAATGATTGTAATGAGCCAGTAATTTATAGTGAGGCAATGGAATTGCATTTCACTTTTTCACATATCTATTCCTTAAAAGTACTAAAAGAATCATAAGTGGAACTGTTAAGGAATCAGTAAGAGGAATCATAATTCATAAATCTTTATGATTCCACTTCCTCTCTTCCGCAGTGGTTCGGGAGGAGCAGAGGGTTCTCCCCTGGCCGTTCGTTCACCCCGCGGGTCCCCCCCACTCTCCCCCTCTGCTTCCGTCATCTCCGCAATCCCGTTCGCTCAGTGTGGGATCCTCCCCCAGCCGTGCCCTGCTCCGCCCCGCCGCGGCCCCCCGGACCCCCTCCTCCCAGCTCAACGACAGCTGCAGGGCAAAACGCACCAGGTGCATCTCAAACACACCTCACGGCCAGTTGCAACATACTTGAGTCTAAATCCAGCACTATGCTTGCAAATATTTATATCGCATCCTCTTCGCTTTTTCCATCTGGGGCTTATTTTGGAGGCTGAGAGCATTTGCTCTGTGGGAATGAATGTGAAGAGACACTAAGGTCGTTCATGTTCACTATGAGCCACTTCCTGTGTTAGATGAGTGCATGGTCGACTTGGCGGCAGGAATGTGAATGCAGCTCATTAGTGCATCATTAGCGTATCACTGTGTACTGCATAAAGGTCAGATACACAGTCTGTTTATTCTTCTAACACGTAAGCGGCCTTGACCACTTTCTTTTGGAGAATCGCTAAACATTTCTCCTCCTCTCCTCTCTCTTTCTTCTTCTCCTCCTTCATCTCTGATTATGACATGCTCGTTTTATGCATTGACTTCCCCAATTATGACACGCTCATTTTGTTGTCGAACCCCTCACTTTATTTGATGAGTTTCAACTATTGTTTCCTTTTAACCACATGCTTTCTCTCTTTTTCTCATTCTCTCATTCCACGCTAGCTCTTTAAATAGATCTAGGCTCAGCTTTCATTGACCCTCAGTCTTTAACTTAATTGTCTTAAACTTCTTAGCTAGGTCCAATTAAAGGAATAGTTCACCCAGAAATGAAACTTTGCTAAAAAATCTACTAACCCTCAGGCCATCCAAGATGTAGATGAATTTGTTTCTTCATGGGAACAGATTTGGAGAAAATTAGCATTACATAACTTGCTCACCAATGGGTCCTTTGCTTGGCAAAATACATGGGGGAAAAAAAATAATCGAAAAACCTTGTTCGGTATTCGGCCCAGTATTTCATTTCGGTGCATCCCTAGTTAGAGGGACCACCATTCTGAAGTTTAAAAGGCAGCTATATATCTATATGTATAAAGACCATATTTATACCGTATTAGTTTGCAAAGTATTCCGTTTCTATTACGTTACATGGTTTTCAGTTACATTTTTTAGTACAGTAAATACATTGTTTATCTTTTTATTTTAATTGAATGCATTTATTTATTTTTAGTTTATTTATTATATTTACTTTACGCAGTTTTGCAAACCTCTGAAAGAAAACATTAGTGCCGTAGTCTCATACTTGCATCACTGGGACACTGTTGCAGCTTCGGTACATTCTCTGAAATTTGGTTTCCCAAAACATCAACGTTCAGTTTAAGTAAATATGATCTGCAAAACAGTGAAGGTAATATATTATCGAGTCATATTGGGCTAAGCATGTTGATCTATGGACTAATGGCGCATTCGAGCACGGCCAAGTCGGATTTTCTTAGCAAGCTTAAATATAAAGCACTGAACTGTGTTTTGGGGTAAGCGATACAAAATAATAAATATAAAAATACAGGTCATTCATCGCTACCTCAAGAACTGCAGCAAGCATCCACAGAATGCAAAGAATCACGCAGCGTGCTGTGCAGCGAATGACATTTAACAGGGTCCTAATGCTGCAGTCAGGGTAGCGAAATATCTGCCTGCATGAAAATGCAAGCATATTTTGTGTTTATGTTGCATGATTTTTTTTCATTTGTTTTCTTTTTCTTCTTTATAATTTATTTAAACGAAATGATGCATGCACTTGTTATTGTGAGATGGGATGTTTGGGATACTACAGGAATGCTGGAAATTAAATGTTGTTAAAAAAAAAAAAAAGAAACCATTAAATAAGAGATAAAGTTAAATGTTCTTAAAAAGTTGCCAGGGGAAATCAGAAATATAAAAAAATATATATACGAAAAATATAAAAAGAAATATAAATATAAAAGAGTATAAATACTGCTGTATTTATATGATTATATCTACTGACTGCAATAATAGATATGTTTGGTTGCTATGCAACACAAAGTTGTGCGTCGTTGCCAAGAGGAAACGGAAATAAATCTCCTGAAGCCGCAGATTTCTGCCACTGTCTAAATGAAAGATTTTTATGTTTACATTAATGGAAATATAAGTAGAAACTATCCTGCAGGCGTGTGCACGGTGTACTACTCCTCCAGCGGAGTGAACGAAGGGAGTGACACAAACACAAACACAACACAAACACAACACAATGGGAGGACAGACACAGAAGCAGCGCCGATAACACCGCGATACAGCTGTGCCTTTAAACCAGCCCACTGCTGCAGCGGCACTGATGTGGGACTGGTGCTTTCACTAAATCAAGTGCAGCGAGAGTCGACGGGCGCTGTGATAAATGCATCTGAATCTGCAGCAGGGCATTAGTAGAGTATTGTGTTAAGATTCCAGATCTGTCCTTACAATGGATTTCCCTTTCGACCTGAACGCGCTTTTCCCCGAGAGAATTACTGTGCTGGATAACAACTTGAGCGCAGGTCGGAGAGCGCATGGGAGGTAATGTATGCTTTAATGTGTGCTGCTGGGAGAGATGGGTGTAATCTGTGTGCAGCATGCATGCACTGCTTTTGTCTTGTAACAGTGGTTGACACAGTCGTGCTTTGTGCTTGCAGTGGGGGTTTTAGGGTGTTGTTTTATTAGGCTAAATGTTGCATTTGGTCCAGGTCATCTTTTTCCTGTAATGATAAGCCTATTGCTGTATGGAGAGCTTGTGAGATGCAAATGCGGCCCTGAGTAAAAACAAATCTGACCTGAGTCTGATTTAATCGGTCATTGGTTTAATCTGAACGATGCTGATTCAGCAAGACAGCCACAGACTTCACTGTAATCACACAATAAGAAATCTCACCGTGCTATAGATATATTGATTTATAATAAGCATTTTCTAATAGATAAACATTTTATAATGGATAAACATTTTTTTTTAAATCTAATATAAATCAATATTATGATAATAATACAATGCAAATATTTTAAGAATACATTTGATTTGTAATGCACTTTTCTTATACTTAAAACGCTACATTGCATTACAAAGACAATCAAATAATAAATTATCTATATAAATAACAATAATAGTTAAATATTCTAAACTTTACTGAAAAGATGTGTTTGAGCAGTTTCTTAAATCAATCAAGTGAAGGGGCATTTCTAATAGAAGCAGGTTATGAATTGCATATTTTCTGAGCAAAAGCCATTCCTCCCATAGATTTATTGATAACATGAAGGAATTTGTGGTGCGTTTTCAGCATATATAAGCAACACTGTACAGCATACATTCCAATAAATACAGAAATTATAGATTTTAAATGAATTTTAAAATTCACCAAAAATATTTTTTTATTTAACCAGTATTTTGAGTATTCAATTTGCCAACATTACAATGAAATCAAAATTAGTCTTTTACATTTACATTTAATCATTTAGCAGATGCTTTTATCCAAAATGACTGCCAAATTATAGGACAATAGAATCAATCAAAACTAACAAAAAAAGCAACAATATGTAAGTGCTGTGACAAGTCCCATTTAAAGTTGCATATTGATTCTAATCGAATCAGATGCTTTTTAGAAGTTTCCCAACCTTTTGGACACGAGGCTGAATCCAGCTCTTATTCACAGCTTCTGATTGACACTATCCGTTCCACCTTAAAAGACGCACGCTTCCATGTCAGTTAGCTTCTTATTCACTCTCAACTAGGGACCGTGTAATTATATTTTATGTGCCTTTATATTTTTACAGTCCATTTTTGCTTATAAAGCAGTGTTATTTGCGTCTCAAAATAGTTTATTATTTGTTTATTTTGAAAATAGACACAAAAGCAACACAATCCCTTAAAAAAGCATGAAAAAGAGAAAAAGCTGCACGGTCCCTTAGCTGAGCGAAGCTAACTGACGTGGAAGCATCACGTCTTTTAAGGTGGAACGGAAAGCGTCCATCAGAAGCTGCGAATAAGAAGCTGGATTCAGTCTCGTCTTTTGGACTCCAAGGCTCTCTTTTGTCCAAGATAATATTCAAAGGCCCTCATATCTAAGCTAATATCTCATGTATAAACTCAGAAATAATAAAATAAAATGTGTATAATCAATTTAATGTTGTATCTACATTGATAATTTTTTTTGTATCAACATTTTAATTAAGATTATATTAATATAACTACTTACTGGGGCCCCCTGGAAGTTGCAGATGCCCCGCGGTCCCCTGGTGGAGAACCATTGCTCTACCTACCCTTGGAACAAATCATGATTCACAACTGTGACGTAACAACACCCTATTGGCTATTTAAAAAAATAGGACAAGCCATTGATTCCAACTTGTAAACCAAACAGTTATGCATTGTAAATGTGTATGCATCTGTTATGGCTTGCATAACTGGAATCATATGCAAATTCACATTTTTACATCTTCTGTGTATGAGATTCCTAACATGCCTGGTTTTTGTTCTCCAGACCAGATCCTCTTCAGATCAGCACAGTTATAGATGAGCTGGGCAACGCCTCCTCTAAGGTAATAATGACTGTCTTTTGTCTTGTTTTGAGCTTGCAGATGTTATTCAATGTCAGTTTCAGCCTGTCATCATGTCATGTGTGTGTGTATCTCCTCAGGCCCAGCAGCTGCCTGCTTCTATAACCAGTGCTGCAAAGCTCCAGGCCAACAGACACCATCTCTACCTCCTGAAAGATGGAGAACAGAATGGGTTTGCTCGCTTTCTCTATCCCTCCCCGCAGCCTATCCTTCAGATTTAATCTATTTACATGTCAATACAGCTGGCCTCTCTCTTTCCTGTTTTTCCATTACATATAAACACATCCTCATCTGCTGTTAATAACAATCTTTGACGCCCTCTTCCTGTATTTTGCTTTACCAGCGGGAGGGGTGTTATTTTTGGGTTTCTGAAGGTTGGCTACAAGAAGCTGTTTTTACTTGTAAGTGTTTGCTCATTATTGAGTTGGTAATTACATCTTTTTAAACTTGATGCATCAGTGATTTACAGTATGTTGTAATTGCATCCAGGACCAACGGGGGGCGCATTTGGAGACCGAGCCATTGTGTGTGCTGGATTTCTATGTGACAGAGACACTGCAGAGACATGGCTACGGGCTCGAGCTCTTTGACTTCATGCTGAAAGTGAGTGTCTGTCAGCGGCCTAAATGTATTAAAGGACTAGTTTACAGAAAAATCCTGTCATTTTACCTTCCCTCGTTTCAGTCCAAACCATGTGACTCTCCTGGTTGCGTGGAACACAAAAGGAGATGTTTCAAAGAATGTTCATGGTGCATTTTTTACCATACAATAAAAACAAGCAACAAAAAGCATCAATGAAGTATCATGAAAGTGGTCGATATAATTCATTCTCTTTGTTCCAAGTCTGAAAGACTGAACAAGCTGAAACGTAATTCTTTATTCCCAGATCATTTCCCCCTTCACCATTAAAACTCATTTGCAAGTACACATATTCAAACATGCCCCATCAAGACCAGGTTGGACGTCAACGATGCTGTACAGCATTGCTTTTTGTGTGTTTCAACCTTGCTGAATGCTACACGGCAAGGTTGAATTTGCAGAAGTGCAAAAAAGATTTGCGCAATATGGTGAAGGGTAAGATTTTTGTTAAAACACTTGCATTTTATTCAGATTTCCATTGAATAACCTAATTTAAAACGAGAGTATATTTTGGGGTATTTCTCAGACAAAGATGTTGTATACATAGAATATAGCGCATTAGTTGTATGGACTGCTTTTCTGCTGTTTTTTGTAGTTTTTGCTTGTGTGGAAAAGAGCAGCA